AAATAAAATGGTAGTTACAACCACAGTTTACTAGCAAGCATTGAAAGCAGATGCCATAATGACTCTTTGAATTGAACGACATAACAAAGGAACTAGCAGCCATTAAGACTGAACGAGATGAGGATCAAAGAAAGTCGAAGTAACTGTGATAAGCAGGTTCATTTTACCATAAAAGTAGAAAGAAGGAAAGAAAAGGGAATCCACTTTTTTTTTCTCTTTCAAAACCTTTCTTTTTTCGGTATGCCGCTCCAAAAGTAAGGAGTGCCACGCACCAGCGGAGCGAAAACAAAGCCAAAGCAGGGGGCAACGCTTCCTTGCTCATGACCAATCCCTCAAAGCAATGAATGCAAAAAGCATGCCATAGAACAAGAAAAAGTTTCTGCATGGCGAAATACAGCATTGAACGGTGGTACGTAAGGCTTAGAGTCAAGGCATTCATAGGTCTCCTGTCGGAGCTCTACGGAAGTGATAGCAGAAAAGGCAAGTCTTCCTGGGTCTACTTGTTGTCCTCAAAAGCTCTTTGACACTTTTCCGATCAGTGAAATGCCATGATCGGTCCGTACGTCCTTCTTTAGTTTAGGATATTTTTTAGTTGAGTAGCCATCTTCGAGTAACTTACCATGAATCTTYGGTAATAGTTCACGAGCCCTAAAAGTGATATTAGCTCACTCAACAACTCGAGTTTTGCTTCGCATCAAACAACTGGTATTATGCATTCATCTTCCAAGTGTCATTCTCAATGGTTTTTTTACATTTACACTGGGCCCGAGCTCGTTCTTCTATTTTGAGATCTTTAGATTCATAAGATCATGATAGAGTCCCCTTTACTTTGATATTCAATTATTAAAGCTCGCCAGTGCCTTTCTTTTACGGCCTAAATTCCTATTTGTCACTTGTGGGAGTTAGTTCCTTTCTCTAAAAGATGAGGAGAACAACGTCGAAAGGGTTGGACTTGGCCTGCCTTCAACCAAAGCGTTAGAAGCCTTTACCTTAATTAAGGAGACCTTTAGTAGATTGGGAGTGTTCCTAGCTTGATTCTTTCTTATCTAGTAGCAGCTTTAAGAATGCATCTGGTTCCCTCTTTCTTTCGTTAGTTACCCACCTTTTTCTAAAAGGGATTGTAGTAATTCCAGCATTCCTTCACTGGAAACTTGTCGACCTTCTCGATAATCGGAGTGAAAAGCCTTAAAGAGAAAGCTTTAGCAACGGTAGGAGTTACTATTGGAAAAATGGTAAGATTAAATAAAAGATTGTTGTACCGTGGACAAAACCACTGCCTCAAAAGCAATTTCGGCATGGCCTCGGTGCTATATCGTATACTCGCCGGTTGCTTCCCAAGGTTAACACAACTTCGAACCCAAAAGTGCACTCGTCGGGGCCAAATGGAATCGATAAACGTGCTCAGAAACATATTCTTGTTTTCTAAAACAAAAACAAGTCTTTATTTATATAGAGATAGTATGCTATTTTTGGAAAAATAGTAAAGTTAAAAATAACATAGTCTAAATTTATAGTAAAGTTAAAAATAACATATTCTAAATATATCAACTTTAAAAATAGCTGTAAGACTAAGTCTTTTAAGGACGAATTAGTCATTCCCAACAATCCTCCACGAGTGACTAACTAGTTCTTAAAATATACAATTCAGAGCAGTGAAGGAAAATAAACTTAAACATTACTATCTTACGATTTGAGTTAATGCATAGTGAAGTGAGACAACAACCTAAATAATGAAAGTGAGTTACCTCTTGAACTTCCAATAATTATGGTTGAGACCCCCACAACACATTTTATTCCCTGTTTTCGATCCCGCAATATAAATCAAGTGCTATTAATGGTTATGCAAATAAACCTTGGGTCATCGTGAAAGCTCTAGAAAGATACTTTTTAACTCTTTCATAGAAGGCGACCTACCTTCATAATTACATTATTGCTTCATCAAGTCTATCACAGATAAACCACTCAAAATTGAGTTATGAATACTTCATATATCATCCATTAAGTCCATAAAGACCATCTAAATAAAAGGCTATGGATTCTCATAGTACATTACAACTATTATTCATCAAGTCTGTACATACTACCCAAATAAAAGGCTATGGATTCTCATAGTACATTACAACTATTATCCATCAAGTCTATATAGACCACCCAAATATAGAGCTATGGATTTAAAGCTTCAACAAAATCATCGATTAAGTCGTAGCTAGGACCACCCAAAATATAGAGATATGGATTCTTAGCTTCATTACTAAATAAGTCTTATTAATTTCTACTTGTTTTCAACCAAAAAGGTGGTTAAGAGAATTTAATTTCATAGGATTATAATCATAATATCTTAAATTAATTATTCTACCAATAACTAATTTAAATTCATATAATCATGTTAATAAACCTCACCAAAAAGATAATTTTCAACAGTTTACTAAATAATTTAAATAGCAACATTTCATCGTTAATTGACATTAGATGTAATTATTTTATATATTTAATCAAAATAAGACTATATATTCGACTACAGTCAAGCGAGATCTCAAATCACCCATAAATTAAGATAAACTTAAATTGAGATATTTCATTACCTTAAGAAACTTGCTTTAACTCATACATAAAATTGTCAATAAATATCTTGCTCAATTTATGACAACGATATGAATTGAAAATTGTTAAAAACCTCGTCAGAAAATTAAAAGATTTAAAAAATTTACGCCATAATATAGGAAAAACCAGCCTATATAAAACTTAAATATGTAGTGAGAATAATAACAATCCAACTATTTCCAACTTAATTTTGACATAAATAATCAACATATTTATGCCAAATCATTTATGCATGAGAAAATTATATTATCATTATATCATTGCACAAGTCTCACTAGAGCACGGAATTCACCTGCTCAGCTTCCCTTTTTCCAACTTTCAAAATTTTCCCGGCGGCCTTCCCCACAATTGTGGCATTTGCGCATAATCCATTCTTGAATGCTAAGATTTCTCCTCAACCGTGTTGGGCCAATCAACAATTCTGAAGGAAAAATTGAAAGTAGGGAGATTATAAAATGTAAAGAAAATCTCACACATATAAACCACGAGTAGTACTGAATTATAGTATGTCGGTCTGGTTTGCGATTTTTTCTTTTAAATGAATTTTTCTCTCTTTGATAAGACAAAAGAGATGACCCATTTTCTCTCTCTTCATCTTCTCTCCACACTTATATTGTCCGTTTTTTCATTACAATCTTCACTTTTTTTTTTCCCTTCATTCATTCATCTCTCTCTCTCTCTCTTTTCTTTTTCCTTTATTCCTTTCCCTTTCTTTTGGAAAGAAACCCATTTCTCCTTCTCTCTTTTCAATCTCGGAAGCCAACACCCAAAAGC